CTACAAGAGCACTAAGAACCTCAAGCCCTAGAAGTCTAAAATATACCGTTTATCCCCTTACAGAGGTGTTTGGGCAGTCTGCACCACATGGGGGCAGTAGAGCCTCATTAGAGGATCGAAGCGTTAGGCCTTCGTGAAATCTGACTGCAAAACTAAGCATACCAATTACAGAACTCAGAGATCTGCTTGCCGCTGCCTCTCTTGTGCTGAAATTAAAAGTGAGCACCACCACAGACAGCTAAGTAGACATTATTATTGTCTTTATTTTACACCTATTCTACTCTGTATTCCATGTGTGTCTGTCTATGAATATTTAAATCTAAAATTTATTTGTGGTATAGCAATTTCCTCTGAATTAAAGATTGATTCATCTTGGAAAGCAGCCCAGTAAGACTCAAGAAGTTCTAAAGGGAGGGACTTAAACCCCAAGAAATTAACAACTCAGAACTCTTTGGATGTCCCTGAAACTGATCAAATGTTCTAGGTCCTTCCCTTCCCAAGGCTTTATAAACAGTAAGGACTGAGAGACTGCTGAGAGACATCAGCCAGGCAGCCAGGAAGACCGTGACCAGCCCAGCTGCGTGGAAAAGGCGCAGATAAACGGAGCTGCTGAAAGAGCTCTCTGGGCTGTCAAGGTGCCGGTAAATTGTGCAATGAGCTTTTGTGGTTTCCAGCTGTCCTGGGATGTCACCCCTGCTGCGGTGGTCTTTCAGTGCTGCCGCTGCTTTCAAGTCATCCCTGCTCCTACAATTAGCCCCTCACCCATATCCTAGTAGTAACCCCAATAAAAACCGATAGAGTCATGCTCATAGCCTTTGGTGGTATCCTTATTTTGGTCTGCCATTGAGGGGAACAGACATTTCTTCACATCTCCCCAAGAATAAAGTCACATAATATTGGAACTTCATCCACTAAAAAAAAAAAATCTGAAAATATAAGTTTTCTTTCTTTCTTTCTTTCTTTTTTTAAATTTGTTTGCTTGCTTTTTAGACAGAGTATCTCTCTACATATCCCTGACTGTGCTGGAACTTGCTATCTAGACATGGTTGGCCTAGAACTCACAGAGACCAGCTTGCCTCTACCTCCTGAGTGCTAGGATTAGAGGTGTGCACTTGATCTGGCAGCAAACCCTGGTGTCATTCACCATACTGAGTTTACAGACAAACAGAATACAAGAGTTACAGATCATGGAGGCTTGCACCAAGAGTTCAAAGCCTGGGAGATCAGCTCATGTGTAGCATGGTCAGGATTTCTGCAGGGAGCTGCGAAAAGGATTTTTTTTTTCTTTCTTTTTAAGATTTGTTTACTTTCATAGGTACAAGTATTTTGCCTATATGTATGTTTACTATGTGAATGCAGTACCTGAGAAAACCAGAAGGGGCATTAGATCTCCTGAAACTGGAATTACAGATGGTTGTAAGCCACCATTAAGGTCCTGGGAATTGAACTGGATCCTCTGGAAGAGCAACTAGTGCTCATAACCACTGAGTCATCATCTCTCCAGCCCCTAAAAGGGAGATTTTTGAAGCTAAGACGGTAAAGTGTAAGCTTCAATGGTATCTCCAGGATGTTGGAAATGCCAGGTATGTGGGACATAAGCTGAAGAGAGTCCCCGGTCACCAGGCTGTGAACACAGCAAGACCTACGGGATCTCATGCTTGTTCTGATGGGTTTCCTTGCTTTGGTCCCAGTCTTCCTTTCTTCAATGCCCCTTTAGAATAGGACTATTTCCTCTGTACCACTGGAGTTATATAACTTATTTCTTGTTTTTGTTTTGTTTTGTTTTTTATTTGTTTGTTTGTTTTTTGGTTTGTTGAGACAAGGTTTCTCTGTGTAGCCCCAGCTGTCCTGAAACTCACTCTGTCAACCAGCCTGAACTCAAACTCAGAGATCCGCCTGCCTCTACCTCTCAAGAGCTGGGTTAAAAGCATGTATCCCACAGTGTCTAGCTGCTTTGTGATACAAAGAAATGTTGTACTTACAATTTTGAATAATGTTGGAACTGTTTAAGACTTCAGAGACTCTTGGAGATAAACTAAAGTTTTTTTTATTCCATTTTAAGATAGCCATGAGCATTTCGGGGACAAATGCAGAATGTTTTGATTTGGAATATGAAATGTCCCTACAGGTTCATGTATTCAAGGTTTAGTTGTCAGAGAATGGGCTTTGAGGGGGAGGTGACTGAATCCTGAGGATCTGACTGGTCTAGACAGTAGCATAGCCACTTGTTGGATTAATAAATATGTTATTGCTAGGAAGTGGTGAAAAATAAGAGGGACCTCCCTGGTGGAATTAGGTCACTGCGAGATTGTCCTGGGGATCCGGCTTTGCTCTGGCCGCTTCCTGTAGTCCCTCTCTCTGCTTGCTGTCAGCTGTGCTGTGTGTACCCACTATCACACTCACGCACAGCATGAGGCTCTGCCTCCTCATAGGCCCAGAGTGACAGGGATGACTGCCGCAACCAGACTCTCTGATTGCACAGCCCCCCAATTTTACTTCCTTTAAGTTCTTCATGTCAGGTATGTGGTAACAGCAAATACATCGTGCGACACATCATTGGATGAATATCATATTTGTTTATAAATTTATCAGTTGGTAGATATTTGAATTGTTTCTATTTTGGACTATTTTGTTATCAGTAGTTTTCTGAGACTAGTCTCACATAGCCCAGGCTAACCTCAAATTTACTATGTACCTTAGTGTGGTCTTGAACTCCTGATCCTCCTGCCTCCACTTCCCAAATATAGGGATTACAGATCTGCATTACCATAGCGGGCTGGGCATTGAGCTATTTTGCACAATGCTTCTGGAACATTCATGGGAAAATTTGGGGTGAGCCTATGCTTCAGTTCTCTTGGGCACATACCAAAAGTAAAATTGATGTGATAATGCTAGCATTTGCTTATGTTTGTTTTTGAAATGGTCTCCTATGAGTCCTGACTGATAGCCAGCTCACAGATACATCCTGCCTCAGCTTCCCAAGTGCTGGAATTGAAGGTGTGTGCCGCCTGGCCTTTGGTTTACATTTTCCCCCCAGATAACCGAAGATGCTCAGCTCTGGATGATGTAGCCCACCATGTGAAGTCCAAGACGCTTCCAACAGCTGTTTCTCCATATATTGTTCTACCACAGAAATACATTCTGTTTAATGTATTGAACAATATGTGGGCTGGAAAGATGACTCAGTGGTTAAGAGCATTTTCTACTCTTTTATTACAAAGACCCTGATTTTGTTTCTAGCACCCACATCAAGTGGTCCACAACCACCTGCAGCTTCAGTTCCGGAGGATTCAACACCCTTTGTCTAGTCTCCACAGGTACCAGGCACACTCATGATGCACACACACATAAAGTAAAGGCAAACAATTCTTTAAAAGAAAACAGTCTGTGTACGGCCAGCAAGATGCCTTAGTGAGTACACGCCCTTGCTGCCAACCCTATGGCACGGGTTCTCTCCCTGGAATCCACAGGCTTGTCCTCTGATCTGCAAACGCAGCTTGGCTGTTGGAGCACAGGATTGTAGCGTGGCCATTGCAGTGGTGCCTGGAAGCCTCTGGGAGCCGTTTACTAGGCCCCTCTGAATGCGCCCTAAGATCTTTGTGACTTAGGTAATCCCTAGGCATATAAAGAGACTCCTGGCTTCCACCAATCAAAACGCTAGAACGCTGTCAGAAAGCACTTGAGACTAGGGCTGAGACGGCCCTGCTTTGCTGTAACCTTCCTACCTGATGTTTCCACTCACATATTTTGGGGTTTTTTATTTTGTTTTGTTTTTTAAGGCAGGGTTTCTTTGTGTAGTTTTGACTGTCCTAGAACTCAATTTGTAGACCAGGCTGGCCTTGAACTCACAGAGCTCAACCTGTCTCTGCCTCCCAAGTGCTTGGATTAAAGGTGTGCACTACCACCACCTAGGTCCACCTATCAAAGTATTGAAGTTCAATGTTGTGGGATATTTTTACACTCTGTGAAGGTGCAGATACATGCAGCAAACCCAGTTCAAAGGGGTCACTGGCAAAGATTCAGACTCTTTGGGATATAGGCTTGGATCATATCACCAGACATGATACCAAAACCTGCTGAGGTTATAGAAAAAGGAACTTAAAATGGGAATCAAGTGGTAGCCCAGGTACCAGCTATAGCAATGAGGACATACCTGATCCTCATACTTTCCTGTAGACAGAAGGACAATGGGGACAAAAAAAAGAAGGGGGAGAAGGAGGAACACCTTTGTTACTTTTCTATTGCTGTCATAAGACACGATGACCAAAGCACCTTATACAAGAAAGGGGTTATTTGGGGCTTAGCATTTCAGAGGGTCAGAGTCCATGCCCATCATGGTGGGGAGCACATCAGTAGGTATCCAGGCATGGGACTAGAGCTGGGACTCAGCTCTCACATCTTGAGACATAACCACGAGGTAGAGAGACAAGGAGAGTGGCACCAGGCTTTTGAAACCTCAAAGCCCACCTCCAGTGACCCACCTCCTCCATCAAGGCCACACCTTTTTCCTTCCCAAAGAGTTCCACCAACTGGGGACCAAGTATTCAAACATGAACCTGCGAGGGTTAATCTCATTCAGACCTTCACGGGGGTGGGGGGTCAGTCCCAACAGTGAAAAAGAACAGATAAGAAGAAATAAAAGGAAACTTCAGAGGGCCACTGAACGCTTCTAAGTCCAAAGGACGCTTCTAAGTCCAAAGGAGAGCTAGATATTTGGGAACAGTTGTGTGGTAATCCACCAGCTAGCACAGCCAGCAATTGAGAACATGAGTGATACTGACCGGCCCATGGGGCCCTCTGATAAGAAAGGAATAACTCAGAATCTACACTTGTTGACTCAAACTAGCAAGTAACATTCCAATTTCAAGTTGCAAGACTGAAAAGCTGGTTTTAAAACTATGTCCCTACCTCACCTGATGGCACCTGATGTAAGGCCAGATTGACACACAGCACCCATTCAGGCTGAACAATGGTTGTCAGGTGGGGTTTCCTGGCAGGGGTGACTAGCTCCAGCGACCTCAGGGAAGCTGAGCTTTATTTTTCTTCTTGGTTTCGGAGAAAATCCTGATCCAGCTAACCCTCAAGCAGCATTTCCTGCTGGCAGAAAGACTTCAATGGTTATCGCGCCCAAACTTGGCGGAGATGTGGTCCTGGGTGGGAATTTCTGGTTTCTTCCAGGTTTGTATGGATCCCTGCAGTCCACTATGGAGTAGATACACCAAGTCCTACTGACTTCACGCAAAACCTTGTCTGTCTGCTTGACATAATCCTGGAAAGGATCAGGTCCAAAAGTAAGTATGGAATTGAGAGATGAGATCTAATGTATTTGTCACTAATCCCTACTGGAAGATGTTGGTTTGAATTTGATACTTGGGCGGGAATATAATTAACACTTAACCCTAAATTTCCTCTTCATTTAAATTTTGTTTTGTTTTTGTTTTCTTCCGAGACAGGATTTCTCTGTGTAGCTCTGGCTGTCCTGGAACTCACACTGTTAGACCAGGCTAGGCTTGAACTCAGAGATCCACCTGCCTCTGCCTCCCAAGTTCTGGGATTAATGGTGTGCGCCACCACCACCCCATCCATTTAGAAAATTATTATGGGGGCTAGACTCAGTGGTCATGAGCTATGAACAGCTTTGGCTGTTTTTCCAAAGAACGCAGGTTCCCAGCACCCACACAGTCACTCACATCCATCTGTAACTCCAGTTCCAGGGGATTCAACACCCTCTTCTGGCCCCTGCATGCACCAAATACACATATGGTACACAGACATACTTACAGGTGAAACCACCTATATACATTTTTTTTTAAAAAAAAAAGTGTATTACTATCACAACCTGCCAGTGACCATTGCCAAGGAATTGAAGTAGAATTTGAAACTGAATAAACCAGAGGACTCTAGGCTAGTGCCTTTACCAGGATTCTGTGAAACTTTTATCCCGGCAAGCTCACAGAGAAACAGCGATAAACATACTAAGTGGTTCTCATCACCGTCGGCAGATGTGCTTAGGATACAGACGGTCTCATGGTGAAATGGGGCTGCGTACACAACGCCTAGAACACACTAAGCTGCACTGCTGAGCAGGAGAGAGGAAACACCTTGCGCAGGGCATTCCTCCCAAGGGAGTAAACAAAGTTATGGGAACAGAGTTCACACGGTAGGATAGTGTCAGGAAGCCAAGTATTTACTTGATTTAAGTGTATGTACACATATGTAGGCATATTCACATGATAGCATCCATGTGGAGGTCAGAGGACAATTTCCAGGAGTCGGTCCTCTCTTTCCATCATGTAGATCCCAGGGTAGAACTCAGATCATCAGGCTTAATAGTAAGCGCCCTTAGCTATGGAGCCATCTCTGCAGCCTCCACTTCCCCTTCCTGGCAACATGCCCTCTGCAGTTCACCTAGGAGCATAGAGAAGGCAGGAGCTCCACAGAATGAAGCCTTTGTTTGTTGATTTTCTTGAAATGACTAAAAGCAGGGGCAAGAGAAAATTTGGACGAAAAAGGTTAAGACAATAAGCAGGCATTGGGAAAGCTCAGTCCAGGAAGGGTGGGCTCAGGACATGACTTGCCAGGCGGCAGGGCATCCCTGTTCTCTGAATAGGAGGCCCTCGGGATCTACTCTGTTCACCTTCCTCCCGCAGCCTCTCCGCACCATGCAAGGTTGCCTGTGGAGATGCATCGGAGTCCTGGCATCCTTAGTCATGCTGGGGTTCTTCAGTCGGGAGAATAAAGCAGCTCGTGTGGTGTCCAACACATCACTGGTGAGTACCAAGTCTAGAAGCTTCTCCCTTCACAGGAGAGAGTTAAAGCCTCTAGGCTCATCATGGGCACGCTAAAGGGGAGCATCTGAGGCATCCAGACAGTGCCAGAGAGGAGGTTGCCTTGGAATTGGACTCGAGACAAATAGGGTTGGGGGAGGGCAGGAAGAAGATCAGGCATTCCAGACATAAGGTGAAGCACAGCCACCGTAGAAGGTGGAGGTACTGACCAGCACCCATGGAGGAGGAGGTGGCAACAGACCCGCCACGGCAGATGCTAGTCTTCCCCTTTCTCCTATGAGAAATGGGAAGTGATGTCCCGCAGTGTAGGCCTCAGTGCACACACATGGCAGCTAAGGTTTTGGGCAGCAGAGCTGTGTGAGGTGAGACTAAGCAAGTAAAGGGCTTTCAGGCTGGGGCAGCGTGGGGTGGACGTTAAAGACGGCCAGGCTCTGTCTTTCAGAACCCAGCAGAGGCCTGAGCCAAGTTAGACCAATTAGACCATGTTTGCCCACAATGACACATGGGCAGTGGCTTGGCGGGCAGGTTCTCATTCTATAGGATTCCAAGGCCACATGGCTGTGGTTGAAAAGTTCTGTGGGGGGCTCATGACTAGGTGGGGATGGCAGAAAGCTGTAATGGATCCTGGGAGAGGCCGTGTGCCAGTTGTCTCCAGAGGATCCTAAGACTCGCCCTTGGGACTGATAATATACCATCTTGTATTCAGAATGAAAAGAAAAAAATAATACAGCAGATCGCTCAGGAACAGATCAGCTCTGAAGCCAAGAGACATCTGAAATACTTCGCCAAGATGCAGGAAAATTCCCAAGTACTCCAGCATGCCAACTACACACTTCTGGCTGGAACCTCTCCCCAGGGAAAGCGTGAGTCTGTGGGAAGAGCCATTAGACTTGGAGACGGCCAGGCAAAGTCTTTCATCCAGAAAAGGAGAGTGGGGTCTGAAGGACCGAGCTAGCAGTTAGTGGGAAGCAAGTACTCTGAGTGAGGACAGGCTAGGACAGGTTTCCACTTAGGTTCATTTGCCTCCCCCCGATCCTCCTTGAATGCCCAGTAGGACCTCTCTGTGAGGGAGCCTGTGGTGACATTTATTCATGCCAGGCTTCCAGGAAAGGGACTATGGATGGAAGAGGAACCAGGGGAACTTGGGACGTTGGTGGAGGAAGTGGGTAGTCAAAAAAGAAGGGAGTGTGAACTTATGGTCCACTGAACTGCACAGCCCAGTGAACTAGACTGGCCAGCTATGCGGATTCAAAGGGGCCTGAGGATGCTCTAGTCCAGGACTGGGTAAACCATAGTAGTTGAGATAACTCTGAAGGTCAAGGTCAGGCCAAGATCATTTGCTTACATGGCAATAGCTACATAGTTTCATACCAAAGAAAGCCTTATCCTCTGTGAAGCTTCTCCCAAGAGCCTTTCAAAGTATTGAACAAGCAAGTGAGACTTTATAGCGTTGAGCAGGTATTCACCTCCCACAGACCTATACTCCCGGGAGAAGAAGATGTGAGCTTGGCTTAGGTGAGGGGTTGGGAAGAAAGTCCTGGAAACCACCTACCTTGCTGAAGTACTGAGGGTATCCCTGTGTTTCTCAGGGCAGCTGACGGTGGGGATCTCCTCAGTGCAGCGAACCCATGGGAGTTACCTCTTGGACACCCTGAAGTCTGTTTTCCAAGCTTCCTCGGAACAGGACCTGAAATACATGCTGGTATTGGTCCTCCTGACAGACACTGACCCCACATGGCTCAACCAAACAGTTGCCAACATTTCAGGTCTCTTCATGCCACACATTGAATCCGGGAGCCTGGCGGTGATCCACGGTCTTCTTGGTGACTCCCTAGCAAAGAGCAGAAATCACACCTCACCCTGTGGAGAACTTTTTGCTAGGCAGAAAACAAGTTCTGTCCTCCTCATGAATTTTGCCAGCAACCTCTCTGACTACTTCCTGTTGCTAGGAGATAACGTGAGGTGTGCCCCCAGGTTTGTGTCTAACATCTACTGGGCAGTGTCGGCCTGGAAAGAGCTCCCTTGGGTGATCCTGGACTTCTCAGGCATGAAGATCTCTGGGAAGGTCTTCCACACCAGAGACCTCCCCCGCCTGACCTCCTTCCTGCTCCTCTTCCCCAAGGACATTTCCACTCACTTGCTTCTCTCTGAATTCAGTCTTCTCTTGTCTCAAAATGTTCCAATTCGCTTCAGTTCCTCCATCTTCTACCACATGGGCAGTTACTCTGAGTTTGAAGACACGTGCTTTCCTGAGGAGCAGGACAAGGACTTGGGGGAACCAGACAACCCTGCCGCTACTGTCTTCACAGACATGCTCTGGCTTTGGAATGCCAGCCCACAATATGCCTACATTCTCAACGATGACTGCTTATGGGTCGTGAACCCTCTGGAAGGCAACTACTTGCTGGTGGTTCTGGATAAGCCACAAAAAGTCATCCGGGTAGCAGTACTGACAGGCTCTGCTCATAGTAAGTTGAACTACTTACAACAGGGACAGATACTGCTGGGCTATAGCCTCATGGACTACCCCAAACACTGCGCTCACTATACCTTGGTAGGACCTGTGGTGAGAGGGCAGTTGGACCAGATGGTATTTTATGAGGAAGATGCTGTGAAGGAGATTAGCTGTATAAAACTTCTGGTGACAGCATCTCATGACTTCACCATCAAGATCCTACAGATCAGGGTCTGGACAGAGGTCGAGGAAGAGGAGACTTAGAGACTACTGTGAGATTTCTGCAAGTACTGGCTCTAGAAAGAGAGAAATAAATGCATCAATTGACCAAGAATTTCTCCTCCTCGTGAATACAGTGATAATGCAATTTATTCTCTAAAGTGGGATCCTATGCTGGTTGGTTCTTATAAACTTGACACAAACCTAGACACATCTGAGAGAAAGTGCTTCTATAATGCTGGGCCGTGGGCAAACCTGTGGGGCATTTTCTGAATTAGTGTTTGATGTCAGCTCCTCAAGAACATCACAGCAGGTCACTCTCTGGCCTCCTGCGCACGTACACACACACACACACACACACACACACACACACACACACACACAAGCTCTACTGGGAAGTCAGATGTCATGGCCCATACCTAGAATCACAGCAATTAGGGTGTGGAGGCTCAAAAATTCTCAGTTACCTCAATACTAGCAAGGGCTATTACATGAAACCCTCTCTTTAAAAAAAGGGGGGGGGAGCTAGATGTTGTGGCACAGGCCTTTAATCCCAGCATGGAGAGACAGAGGCAGGAAGATCTCTGTGAGTTCAAGGTCAGCCTGATCTACAGAGCTAGTTTCAAGATAACCAGAGTTACATAGAGAGACTATTTCAAAAAAAGAAAGGAAGGAAGGAAGGAACAAACAAGCAAACAAACAAAGAAGGGGGGAAAGATAACATAGATGTTGATTCTCTAATGGAGAAAAGATGGATTTCAATAAAAATACAAATGAGAGTGTTTTTACATTGTCTACTTTTCCATTTAAAGTATTTTTTCATACAGAATATTCTGATCATGGTTTTCTTCCCCTCATCTCCTTCTAGATCTTTCCACTTCTCTATGAAACCCCAGCAGTCCAACTCCATGCCTTCTTCCTCTCTCTCGTTAGAAAACAAGGAGCCAAAGAAACAAACAACCAGAATAAAACAGACAAAAAGGAAAAGTGCAAGAAACACATGGACATGCAGATACACACACAAAACCCATAAAAACACAAAAGCAGAGACCATAATCTAGAAGCAAAACACAAGTATGGTGAACAATGACCAAACAGCAGGGTAGTAGTGGCACAAGCCTTTAATCCCAACACTAGGGAAGCAGAGGTGGGCAAATCTCTGTTGCAGAATATTTATATGCTGTGAAGATGTATCTTTGCCAAGATACATCTAATTGGTTTAATGAAGATCTGAATGACAGGCAAGAATAGTCAGGATTTCCAGGGAGAGAGGGACAGAGAGACACCAGCAAGATGGGGAGCAAGTGCTGCACTGAGGAAAAGAAAAAGCCACGTGGCAGAATGTAGATTAATATAAACAAGCTAATTAAGTTATAAGAACTAGTTGGGGATAAGCCTAAACTAAAGGCCAAGTTTTCATAATTAATAATAAGTCTCTGTGGGCTGCTGGTCCAACTGGTCCAAGAAAGCTTGCAACAGATCTGTGAGTTCAAGGCCAGCCTAGTCTACAGAGCGAGTTCCAGGACAGCCAGAGAAACACAGAAAAACCCGTCTCAAAAAAAAAAAAAAAAACTAACCAAAGAAACAAAAAGATCAAACAAAGCCATTATGAAACAAAACATCTCCAAAAGTGCCCTTAAGTTTGTCTTATGTTGGCCATCTGTGCTGGGCATGGGGCCTCCATTTGGTGTGGTTTGTATATCCAGTGAGACTGCATTGAAGAGAACTAATTTTTTTCCTTTTTGAGTAGTTGTCAAATGGAGACGGCTTCTGGGCTAGGGAAGGAAATGCCTACCCACTTCCCCTCTCAGCGCAAGGGCCCGGTCTGTCTTAGACCTGTGCAGGTCCTGTGCGTGCTGCCAGAGCCTCTGAGTTCATGTGTGTGTCAGTCCTGCTGTCCGAAGGCTGCTTCCCTGGTGCCCTCCATGCCCTCTGGCAGTCTTGGCGATCTTCCCACCACTTTGTCTACTGGTTTTCACACTTTTCCAAAAGCTAGAGAAATGATGACTCCATGCAGCCAATTGCTTTTCACTGCAATACTTATTCTCCTTTGCAGTAGAAAAAGAATGTTGGGCCAAATTCGGTGGCACACGCCTTTAATCCCAGCACTCAGGAGACAGAGGCAGATTGATTTCTGAGTTCGAGGCTACCCTGGTCTACAGTGTGAGTCCCAGAACAGCCAGGATTACTCAGAGAAACCCTGTGTAGTCCATGAAAAGAAAAAGAAGAAGAGGAAGAGGAAGAGGGAGAGGGAGAGGGAGAGGAAGAGGAAGGAAAGAAGGAAGAAAGGAAGGAAGGAGGGAGGGAGGGAGGGAGAGAGGAGGAAGGAAGGAAGGAAAGAAGGAGATGTTGGGCCAGCAGGGTGGGTAAAGCTTGCTACCAAGCCTGTTGACCTGAGTTCAATTCCTGGAACCCTCACGGTGAGAGAAGAGAACTAATTCCTGCAAGTTGTCCTTTGCCACACACACACACACACACACACACACACACACGCACGCACATGCACAAACACTTGCATATTCTCTGTTTTTCTCCTTTTCAAAACAAATGCACAAACAAAAACAGAATGTCATGAGAGACCATGTGCACATCTTTAAAAAAGAACATAATTCAGTCACGCTTGGTAGCACACACCTTATACTTCAAGCACTTCGGAGGCAGAGGCACAAGGATCTGTGTAAGCTCAAAGCTGGTCTGGTCTACATCGTGAGTTGCAGAGTTCCAGGCTAGCCAGTGTTACATAGTTCCTGTCTCAAAATTAAATAATAAACAACACACTTACATTACTTTTTTTTTTTGAGACGTGTCTGACTGTGTACCCCAGGAAGGCTATGGAAACTCAACTGACCTTGAGCTCACAGAGATCCACCTGCCTCTGTCTCCCATAACAGCCCTCCAGTGATAATATTAAAGTCATGTACCACCTTACTGGATTATTACTTTTGTCTACATGTATGTCTGTGAACTACATGCAGGCACAGTGCCCACAGGGCCAGAAAAAGGCATCCATCCCCTGGAACTGAAGTCACAGGTGATTATGAGCCACTAGGAATTAACTCAGGTACTCTGGAAGGGCATCCATCTTTCACACCCTCTGGGGTTTTTTAAATTTTACTTTTTTTTTTAATTTAGATTTTGTGGGTGGAGAGAGGGAGGTTCAAGACAGGGATTCTCTGTATAGCTCTGGTTGTTCTGGAACTCTCTGTACCAGGCTGACTTTGAACTCACAGAGATCCTCCAGCCTCTACCTCCTAGTGCAGGAATTAAAAGTGTGCACTACCACCATCCTACCCCAGCTTTTTATTTAGATTTTAAAAAGTCCTTTTTAATCATGTGTCTGTACGTATGTGTCTGTGTATTGGTGTCAGTAAGTTCACACGAGCGCATGCCCTGAAGAGGCCAGAGGCATCAGATCCCCCTGGCGCTGTGTTATAGGCATTAATGAGTCAGCTGACAAGGGTGCTAGGAACCAGATCTTCAACTTGGATCCTCTACAAGAGCAAGTCACACTCTTAACCACTGAGCCATCCCCAGTCCCCCCCCCCCTTTTTTTTTAACACAGGCTAAAAACAGCCCTAGAAGTTAATGTCTTCCTCCAGGGCACAGGGCAAGTTTGTTTATAAAGACAGTGACTCCCTGTGCAGAGATTTAGAGGCTGCCTCTCCTGTGATGTGAAAGCTCTGAGACTTCTCCTTCCTCCCTGGAGAAGATGTGTTTGTCCCCTAAGCAGAATAATAAGGGTAATGTCTCCCCATGCGTCGAGTTTGACAGTGGTCCTTCTCCGTACAAAATCAGACCTTTCCCTAGGTTAGCACGTCTCAGCCATGGTGCAGACCCTCCATGTGAACAGTATCCGAGCAAACCTCAGTGAATCATCCCTCACTAGGTTCCCCCTGGAACTGGAGGGCAAGGGGAATTGTGGCCACATGAAGCCTATAGTGTCTGCATCACCAGGAGAGTCTGGCATGTCTCTGGGAAAGCTATCTTCCTGGTGTTCAGGGCGTTCATGACTTCTTCACTTAACTGCAGCGGTGGTTACATTTTTTTCTTTTTTAAAGATTTATTTATTTATAATATATATAGCACTCCTCCTGCATGTACACCTACATGACAGAAGAGGGCACCAGATCTCATTTTAGATGGTTGTGAGCCACCATATAGTTGCTGGGAATTGAACTCAGGACCTCTGGAAGAGAAGCCAGTGCTCTTAACCGCTGAACCATCTCTCCAGTTCCCTGATTACATTTGATTACATTTTTTTGTGTGTGTTTTTCCTAGAGCCCTTTCTTAATTTATTATTCATACTGTTCAAGGTACTTAGTAAACAGAGACTGTTTCCCCCAAGGGCCTGTGAATGGAAGAGAGCAGAAACATTAGATAGATATATGAGTGTGTTCCAGAGGAGCTGTGGAGGTTTTCTCTCAGTGGAGTGTCACAGTATGCTAAAGTGATAGAAGGAAGCCAGCCAGAGCACTGCAGGAAGAAGCAGGCAGATTTCTGTGAGTTCAAGGCCAGCCTGGTCTATATAGTGAGTTCCAGGACAGCCAGGACTACATAGTGACATCCACTCTAAAAAAGTGAATTAATTTAATACATTAATTACAGTTAAAGTAGATGCAGGAGGAAAGAGGTGGAGATGACACTAAGTAAGATACAGCTACAGCGATCCACAGAAAAGATGGTGGTGCTTCAGCCAAAGCAACAGCAGGTGGTGAGACTTAGTTAGATGTTGAACATGTTTAAGATTGACCAAAATTAGTGAAGATTGGTTGAGGGTTTGAGAAAAGGAGCAAGCAGCAAAATGGATTGTTCTGTAATTTTTAATTGACAGAGAAAATAAAGTCATATACAATGTAATATATATTTATATACATATATGCCCGAATAGCTCTCACTAACATGTACTTCACCTTACAAGGTTTCTATTTTTGTTTGATAAACAAAGAATTGAGACTGTAAAATAAAATAGCACAAGGGAGTTTTGGAGGTAAAAATTATCCTATATCTTGATTGGGGCGTTTACACAAATCTCTACATGTTCTAAAATTCATAGAACAATACACCAGAAGCCTATTTCAATGTATAACAGTTTGTAATTATTGTATTGTAACAGTAGCATTATGATTCTTCTTAAGGCCTTATCTTTTCAAGGTATATGCTAAAAATATTTAAGAGCAAATTACATGAAACATGAGGTGTTATTGAATATTAGTTTAGGATTTGTTACATTTGTGTTTATGCTGTGGAATATTTGTTTAATGATGCAAAGATGTGTTTCATTTTTTATGTTTGCTATATTTGTTTACCTCTGTGAAGCTGTGTTACTTTGCCTATCTAAAACACCTGATTGATCTGATAAAGAAATGAATGGCCAATAGCTAGGCAGGAGAAAGGATAGGCGGGGCTGGCAGGCAGCGACAATAAAAAAGAGAGGAGCTAAGAGCAAGAAAAAGAGAAGAGGATGCCAGGGGGCAGCCCCCTAACCACACAGCCAGTCATGGAGCAAGAAGGAAAGAAAGATATATAGAATAAATAAAGATATATTGACTAAAGAAAGGTTAAAAAAAGCCCAGAGGCTTTTAAAAAGAGAAACAGGATAATTTAAGTTAGAAAAACTGACTAGGAACAAGCGAAGCTAAGGCCAGGCATTCATAAGCAAGAATAAGTCTTCATGCTGGGTGATGGGGTCCCAAAGAGTGAAGGAAAAAAAAACAAATACAGTAAGATTTGCTTCAAAATAATACTGGAAGGGATGAGCAAATTGAATTGCCCAGTGAGCGAAGAGCCTGGCGTGCAGGCATGAGAACTTGTGTTTTTCACCAGTGCCCACAAGAAAAGATAGATGTGGTTGGTAGTGTGTAACTCTAATCCCAGGTCTAAGCAATAGAGATGAGAGGGTCCTGGGGTTTACAGGCCAGACGGTGGGTACAGGCGATCAAAGAGCTCCAGGTTCAGTGACTGACCTTGTCTCAAAAGATATGGTAGCAGTTGGGTATAATGGTGAACACTCTAATCCCAGCACTTGAAAATCAGAGGTGCATGGATTTCTATGTAGACCAGGCTGGTCTCGAATTCACAGAGATCCACCTGCCTCTGTTTCCCTACTACTAGGATTGAAGGCGTGCGCCACCATTGCCCAGCCTCCAGTTATTTATTTGTTTTTGGGTTTTTCAGGGAGAAGGGGTTCATGAGGTGCTGAGTCAAATCCTTGTTTAAGCCAATAAGGTGATGTTGGGGGTGGACTTGAAGTAAAGCTTTAGTTCCCCCTTCCATACAAAACAAGGTCTCTTTTTTTAAGGCTCCTTGAGAGGAGGTAGAAAAGGGGAGTGGTGTTCCACCGACAGAGTAATGAGCCTGGTTAATATGTGACCTGTGGACTGGCCTGTGAAGCATACAGGGCTGTTAATATGTGACACTGTGAGGCTGCTACTACTGAAAGGCCTGGAGGCTGGGCATGGTCTTATCAGCCCCTTGTGGCCCCAGCCTCCTTACCTGAAACGCCTGTTCCCCTGCCTGTGCAACATGACGGTTGAGAGCACACAGTACCCAGGAGAAGCCATCTCACCTGATCCGGTGGTTCCCAGAAATGCACTCTAGTTGTGTGCCCCTTTGGCTGTCAGGATGCTCTCCTCTTGTTCTGTACCTCTCCCTCCCTGCCACATCCCACCCAGGAAAAGGAGGAGGACCTGGAACCGAACCAGGCAGTCAAAAGGTCAGCGGTGGTGATCTCTGAGCATTAGCAAGTCAGAAGCTCCAGAACATAATCCCATGGGTCTCCCAGAACAAAAAAGAAAGAAAGGGCTGGTTATGGTGGTACATGCCAATAGGATACGCTAAAGAGGCAGAAGCAGGAGGATCACAGAATCGAGGCCCAGTGGTTCACAATCATCTGCAATACCAGTCAGTTTTCCTGACTTATTTGGGCACAAGGCACACACACACATACATAATACATGCATACAGGCAAAATATTCACACACACACAAGATAAAAGGAGGAATTATTTTTAAAAATTAGAAAGTACGGCTCCATCTTCTCCCCCTTTCAAATTCCTACACTGGTGGGCACTTTACCAGACCCCGGCACACTTTCCTTTAGTTGGTGTTTCTGAACGGTGTTTAAACAATGTTTCAGAGCAGACATTCTAGCTGCACTGAAAATTCTGAGTGACGTTTTCAGCCAGCCCAGAGAAAAAAAGCCAAAACCTTTCTTGGGTCACTCAGAGTTGACTGAAAACCAAGGCTTCATTGTCCCTCATGTCCCGAAGGTATTCATTTCTGATGTCGCTAGTGTCACATATGGACCGTTTCGTTCATCCATCACTGTAGCTCAAATAGCAAGTGCCACTTTGGGAAATATGTCTGAGAAAGCATGATCATGGTAAATGTGCAGTCCCAGCAGCTTCTGGCGTCTCTTTCTAATTTCTGTTCCATGCTTATACTGTCAATAGAGCTGAGTCCCAAGCCCTAAGGGAGTCTTGGGGCCGTCTTCTGAGGTATAGTATAGTATGGTATAGTATGGTATAGTATAGTATAGTATAGTATAGTATATAGTATAGTATAATATAGTATTGTAGTAGAGTAAATGAGCTGCTATCCATTTAGCATTTTGTCCTCTGACAAACATTACATTAAAAACAAGCACATCTCAGTTGGCCTCAGAATAGTCTATGAGCCAATTACCCAAAGATCATTAAGTATATTCATTTATTGATGAAGAAATACAGAGAAATGGAGTAAGTTGTCCAAGGTCACAGGGCCGCTGAGAGCTAAAGTCGTCATTCTTGTGTAGTCTGAGGACCCATACTTGGTGGGGAGCTTGACTTGAACCAAAAGGAAGCCCTTGATTTTTAAAAGATATTGATTTATTATTTATTTTTGTTTTGCATATGAGTGTTTGCCTCTATGTATGTATGTTTGAATGTATATACAAACCCGGTATATATACTGTGCATATAATGCCTGAGGATGTCAGAGGAAGGCACCAGAACCTCTAGAATTAGAGTGACAGATGGTTGTTTCAACATGGGTGCTGGAAACGCAGGCAGGGTCCTCCACAAGAGTGGTGAGCTCTTAACTACGAAGCCCTCTCCAGCCCCTCCTGACTGATACTGATGAACTGATATTGTGAGCAAAATCAGTTGTTTTGTTTGAAGGACTAGGAAATGAAGTTGCCTGGTCACTCTTCCTGAAACAGACATCAGCCAGTCAATACAATTGTCTGGCAAGGCAACCTGTTGGGGAAAAAAAAAAACCCAACAACAAGAATTGTCATCTGATGACTTCCTGTTCTACTTTAAGCCTGTCTCTGGCTCAACACTCCACTTTCCATGAGGCTTTCAAACCGACAAGAAGATATTTATCACGCGAATCAGCCTGGCTCCATGTTAGACGGAATTGTCATCCCTTCCCTTTGGGATACTTGTAAGTGGCGGAGACCCGAAAGCTAGAAGGAAGTGGGCTGAAACTGCCTAGGAGCTGCCCGCATCCTTGGACCATCCAGTCCATAGGGAAGAGGCTAGCCACGCGGGCCCTCCTCCCTAGACCACGCCCTGGAGAGCTCCGCCCCCGGACCCGCCCCGCGGCGCATTGTGGGATCTGTCAGCCCCACTGGAGCGGGACGCGGCGCTAGGTCATGGGGATCCAGCCGGTAAGACTCTCTCGTTCGGTGCCCTGGGCCCGGGGTCCCCGCCCCAGCTGATTCTGGGCAGTTGGTACCGCGGGACTGGACTGTGCCAGCTCTGGATGCCGGGGTTTCGCTGCACCAGCTGTGGGCTGGGGACGCTACTCCGCTCACTCCTGCGGCTTTGGCATTCTCTCTCACTGGAGCTCGGGATCACCTCCCCTGGTCCCCCACCCACCTCCTGGTTCTTCTTCAACGTGGCGATCACACTTCCTCCTCTGCCCGTAGAACCCGGTCCTGCTAGCCTCTCTGGGGGTGGGGCTGCTTACTCTGTTTGGACTGGCTGTGGGTGCCTATCTGGTTCGAAGATCCCGCCGGCCGCAGGTCACTCTCCAGAACCCGGATGAGAAGTACTTGCTGCGATTGCTAGACAAGACGGTAAGTTGTGAAGAAGGGGGTTAGGAAAGAGAGGGAACCGAAGTTCTCCTGTTTTGAGGGATAGCATCCACTGCAGTTAGATTGCTCCAAGGGACTTGGCAGACCAGACCTGCTTGATGAAACATCTTCTCGTTCATCCTCTAGACTGTGGGCCACAACACCAGGAGGTTCCGCTTTGCCCTGCCTACCGCCCACCACATTCTGGGACTGCCTGTGGGTAAGGAAAAGGGAGTAGGCTTCTCTCCTTGGCATCCTACGACGACGGCGAGTCACTACTTTGCTATTTTCCCTGTACACACCGTACCTCCTTCCTCACTTGGCTTTGAGTCCATTAGTTTATTAGGGGCCACTCCTTTAGGGTGTTGGCATCTGTGCCCTTGTCATCTTTAACCTCCAGTAGTCCTTCCTATTTCCTGTGGGACTTGTCATAAGCTCCCTCTCACCCCAGCAAAAACTTCGCACCAGCTGCTAACGTCCTGACTGTAGCTGAGGGAGTTTCTCAGGTGGGAGGAGGCAAGAACGACTGCGGAGGGACTCTCCCTGAGGCACGTTCCTTGGACCCACACCGAGAAGCAAACTATTCTTTTCTCTCAAATCTGAGTGTTTTGAAAAGGTGACAGGGACGTAGCACCAGCCACTGCAGCTTATGTAACCCTCCCCATTGTTCCCAGGCAAGCATGTCTACCTCTCGGCCCGAATTGATGGCAGCCTGGTCATCAGGCCTTACACTCCTGTCACCAGTGATGAAGACCAAGGCTATGTGGATCTTGTCATCAAGGTAAGCGTAGAGAAAGGAAATCTCGGGGCTGGGGAGATGGCCTGGTCTTTAGGTAAAGCATTTGCCACACGAGCCTGAGTTTGAATTTCCCAGCACCCATGCAAAGCTGGACACAGTAGCCCATGCCTCTGAAATCCCAGCATGCCTCTACTGGGAAATAGGGTGTGGATACCTGAGAATTCCCATAAACTCAGAGTTTGGGGGCCAAGTAGCCTTCCAAGAACAAGAAATATAAGATCCTGTCTCAAACAAGATGGAAGACACAGGCCAACATTTGAGGTTGTTCTCTGACCTCTCTGGATTTGCTGTGGCAGGCGTACACACACGCGTGCACGCACGCATACAGACACGTTACATGCGTACACACACACATGCATACACACATTTTCTTCCTCTCTGCTTCATCAGGTTTATCTGAAAGGTGTGCACCCCAAATTTCCTGAAGGAGGGAAGATGTCTCAGTACCTGGATAGCCTGAAGATTGGGGATGTGGTGGAGTTCCGGGGGCCAAGTGGGTTGCTCAGTTATGCTGGAAAAGGTGAGTATCTGTCTTTTCCCTCCTACTGTCTCGCTCCTGTCCCTTCAGTCCCTCGGCACAGTGTGCATGCGTGCACGTGTGTACCTAGATAAGGTCTCCTAAAGCACCTCTGCTACAGAAAGGCAGGTTTCACCTTGCTCACCAGCTGTGGTGGAGATTATCAAAGTACACCTGTGCTCCTCCTTCCCTCCCTCAAAGATTCTTCCCTCTGGCTAAGAACCAAAGAGAAAGCATTTAGTGCTTCCCAAGGGAACCGCTGGGTGCTGTGCTGTACCCCTGGTGAAGGCTCTGGACCACTAGGGAAACGAAATTCACCCTGGCCCCATGCCCGCCCGCCTCACCAGGGAGCAGTTCTTTTCCAGAGGGTCTTCGCCTCACACCCCTTCTCTTGCCCTCACGTGGCTCTGAATCTTCCAGGCTGTGGGGGTACCACTGGGTTTTTTTGGAGTGTGGCTTCTGTGCTCCCACTATGTGAACTGACTAGTAGGCAGACAGCCCAGCCCCTTTGTTCTTCCCACATAATTGTCAGGGCAGACTTAACTCAAACCTCGGCCCACGTCCCAGGATCAGATTCCGTAGCAGCTGATAAAACAGCCTAGGGCATGTTTTCAATTCTGCATTTGTTTATTTAGTTCTTGTTTTGAACTGACTCTAACACTACACTTGACTTCTCAGGGAATTTTCACATGCAGCCCAACAAAAAATCTCCACCTGAACTGCGAGTGGCCAAGAAATTAGGAATGATTGCTGGAGGGACAGGTCAGTATCCCTTGGGGGACAGTTTTGCTTAGCGTTGTTGGGTTTGCTTTGCAGATTTCGATATGATCTCAGGCTTTGTAATAGAGGACAAGCTATTAATCAAGGGACCGTCATCATTCACCCCCATCACTGCCTAATCAAGGGACCGTCATCATTCACACACCCCCATCACTGCCTAGACTTCCCCAGTAGCTGAAATCATAAGCAAGGAGAAACAAACAAACAAAAATTCACAGAATGAGATCAATAAATCAGAAGCGTTCTCCACAAACTGAGTGGATTTAATGACTTTGAGAGAAACAGGTAAGTAAGAATAGGGGAGGAAAAGACCAGGCCTGGTGCTTCAAGTCTGTAGCTCTAGATACTTGGATTTGAATCAAGAGGCTCACAAAGTTGAGAGTCAGCCTAGGCTACATCCCTAAATACAGAGTTCTAGCCAAGCCTGGACAGTTTAGTGAGCACAGTGGTAGAAAACACTTGCCTCACATGCTCACTGCCCTAGATTCAAGCCTCTATATCTCCAAAGAAAAGCAAGAGTACTGTAGTACCACTCTTAGATACCTGCTGTCTGTAAGTAGGTAACTATGAGCCTTTCTCGTCTACAAATGAGGAAATAGAGATTCCTAGAGCTTAGGTTTCCACAGGTTTTTTTTTTTTAATTTATCTATTCATTCATTATGTATACAGTGTTCTGCCTGCATGTGTGCCTGCAGGCCAGAAGAGGGCACCAGATCTCATTACAGATGGCTGTGAGCCACCATGTGATTGCTGGGAATTGAACTCAGAACCTCTGGAAGAGCAGCCAGTGCTCTTAACCTCTGAGCCATCTCTCCAGCTCTCCACAGGGTTTTTGTTTTGTTTTTGTTTTTGTTTGGTTGGTTGGTTTTAGTTTTTAGAGTCAGGGTTTTACTGTGTAGCCCTGGCTGTCCTGGAACTCCTTCTGTGAACCAGGCTGGCCTCTGCCTCTGAAATGCTGGGATTAAAGATATGCACCACTACTACCTGGCTACCACAGGTTTAGTTAGTAATGGTCACAGACAGGATTCAAATCTGACTTTGCCTGATTCCAGAGAACTTATTCTTACCCTCTATAAGCAGTGTTCCATAACTCTTATCAGTGAAACAGAAGGGACCGTAGTGACCTATGATTTTTTTTTTCTGAGGTGGGATGTTATGTTATGTTATGTTATGTTATGTAGCTCCAGTTGGCCCAGAACCCACTCTGTCCTCACAGAGACAAGACAGAGTGCTGGGAACTAAAGACACGGGCTACCATATATTTCAGGCCTAATCTATAGTGCTTGTACTCCTACCTCCAAGAGACTTTCAGGGCAAGTGTCTTAGTTTTAGAGCTAGTATCTTGGATTGACTCCTTAAAAGGATTCGAGACAGAGTTTATCTGTGTAGCCCTGGCTGTCCTGGAACTCATTCTGTAGACCAGACTGGCCTCAGACTCACAGAGATCCGCTTCCCAAGTGCTGGGATTAAATGTGTGTGCCGCCACCACCCAGTTTACACTGTGTTCTTAGGTGAATGTTAAGCTCCAGAAGCGTAGGTCCTGGTGAGTGTGCAGGTGGAGGTCCGAGGATTAGATGCAGCAGGAAAGCACGGAGAGTGTAAATGACAAGCTTTGAGATGGCAGTTGGTTAGCGTAGAAGTCGGGACAAAGCAGAGAGAACACGTCTCTCCAGCCGACACATCTCACCATGGGATTATCCTCATGCAGGAATTACCCCAATGCTGCAGCTGATCCGGGCCATCTTGAAAGTCCCTGAAGATCCAACCCAGTGCTTTCTGCTTTTTGCCAACCAGGTTGGTTTGCTTTTCTCAGTCCCAGCACTCTAAAGTTGGCTGTGTGGATAGATGGGGCTGAGAGAGGGAACTGGCTCGGTGCCTATTCTAGTCTCTGTCCAGAAGCCCTTCTGCGAATATAGGGGTCTCCATCACAATAAGAAAGAAAGAGGGGGACTAGAAGGATCAGGATGCAGATTGAGTTTACAGTCCCCACATGGCAGCTTACAACTTTCTCTATCTCCAGCTCTACCGGATCTGACACTCTCTCCTGGGCTCCAGGGGCTATGGGTGCCAATGCAATGCACTTATATACATGCAGGCAAAACACTCATAAAATAAAAGACTGAAAAAAGAAAGAGAAAAGGACAGGGACCTAGTATTAAGCCAGTTTCATCTCTGGCCCCCAGGGAAACAAGAGAAGATGGAGGTGTCTCACGCTGAGCATAGGAACTTGGACCTTCTTGGTCAAATATCCCTTTGTAATGTGTAAATGAAGGTCACTTCCTGATCCTTAGCACCTAAAAGTACTGCCAAGCCTTGACTCTTCCTAGAACTCAAGCATGCCTTTAGTATTCCCTTTCCTTCTTGGATGGAAGGTTGTCATAGCAAAGTACCTATCTGATTTGGGCCCAAGGTTTCAAAGACTTCCCCATTTGCATTTCAGACTGAAAAGGACATAATCCTGCGGGAAGACCTAGAGGAACTGCAGGCCCAGTATCCTAACCGCTTTAAGCTCTGGTTCACTCTGGACCATCCTCCTGAAGGTATCTTGTCATTTCTGAATATCTAGCTAGTCCCTCATTGTCTAAATCAAGCCACATCCCTGCCCCTCTGTGAGTTCTGGCTTTAGTAAAACAGACCATCCCGGCACGGCCAGAATCCTAAATCTGTGTGCACAGACAAAATGATCTCCTGATCCCTTTCCTTCGGGCTCCTGTTTCTCGGGTGGGTGGCAGGGTTGTGGCTATAGTTGCTGCTATAAACTGAGACCTTCTCAGGAGCCCCTCTGGGTCTTCTCAGTGGTCTGTCCTGGAAGCGTCAGTCTATTGCTGACGTGGATCGGAAGTATCTGCTCTCCTCTCCCTCTACTCCAGGTTGGCCCTACAGCAAGGGCTTTGTGACGGCTGACATGATCCAGGAGCACCTGCCCGCTCCCGCGGACGACGTACTGCTGCTGCTCTGTGGGCCACCGCCAATGGTACAGCTGGCCTGCCTCCCGAACTTGGATAAGCTAGGCTATTCCCAAAAGATGCGATTCACCTACTGAGCATATTGAAGCCTCCCTGACCCCATGTGTGCAGTGGTCCCTAGTCAGTTCTTGACCGCCATGAGACCTAGTGCCTTTGCTAAGAGCATCAGCCTTCCGCGTCTCATCCTGGAACCTGGATGCTTGCAGAAACGACACTCCTCTAGCTACGGTAGAGGCAGGTCAGGCTGAGTCACTTCCAGGAAGCCTCCCTTACCCTAATCTCCATGTGATAAACGGTCCAGACGAAGCTCACAAGGAGCAGTCTCTTCTGTAGGGCCAGGAAGAAGGGAGCGTGCACATTTGTCGTAAGGCTGGCTAGTTCCTGAGAGCATCATGGCTCACCTTCTTAGTGTCTGTGATGAAAGGAACGGGAAATGGACATTTGCTCAATATTCAGCACTTCACCTACTATTTATGCGAGTCCAGGTTGAGTGGGTTTATAGGCATAGTCCTACGGAAACTGAAGGAATGGAACCACTTCCCAAAATTCTAACCCTCAGAAAAAGGGGTCTGATTATATATTTGCATGTGTATCTCTCAGTCCCTGCCTGGGCTAGAACGAAATGGTTACCCACAACTTAAGATTGCTGCTTGTACAAGGAATCTCTGGCTGTTCAAATAAATGGAGCTGAGGCCCTGATCTCAAGGAGTCATTGTGTCTGGGCTCTTTGTCTGCCAGTGCCTGAGGACCGTGGAAGGGAAGAGCTCCCAGCACAGACTCTCCTGGGTGTTTTACAGAGCTTCTGAGGAGTTGTGCCGTGTGTGGAAATGTGAGCTGCCACCAGACCCAAGGCTTATTCCTGCAGCTGTTCTGCAAAGCCAGAGTCCAAGTCCTCCCTGGAGGCTTTAGAGACGGAGGGAAGAAAATACAGTTAGAGGGGACTTTTAGAGTATGGATAGCCTTCCCAGAGGTCCTTTAATTTGGTCAGTCTTCCCCTCTTTCTGTGGGCCTGCCTTCACGCTATTTATCCTTCAGAGTGCCCAGCATACAAAACAAAGTATTGTCTTTCCATTTGGAAGGGACATCTGCCCCTTTAAAAAGTAACCTGACATCACCAGCTCTGAACAGATTTGGTGACTGGACAGAATTGGCCTCTCCCAGGCCCATCAGTCCTAAATAGTCTTCTATGCTTGAGATTTCAAGATTCAATCTCCTCACTTCTCCCAGGATAGGACTAAGGCAGCACTGTGGCTTCGTTGTTAGTCTCATTGGGAGAAAACAATGGTTTGGATTCAGTAGGAAGGTCAATTTTGTTTTTTTGGGGGGGGAGGTTTTATTGTGTATGTATGGGTGTTTGCCTGCATGCATGTCTATACACCACATGCATGCAGTACCCAAGAATGCTAGCAGACAGAAAGATCCCATGGAACTGGAGTTACAGACATTTGAGAACTGTTGAGTGCTGGAAATTGAACCCAGGTAGTCTGGGAGAGCAGTCAGTGATCTTAACTGTTGAGCCATCTCTCCAGTCTCGCAACATTGCTTTTTCTGCATGGATCTGGGTGTCTGTCTCTGAGGCTCCTGGTAGAAGATTTATGAGACCCTCAGAATTCACACACACACACACACACACACACACACACACACACACACACACACTTGTTCACACACCTTAGTGGCAAGAGAACAGATTTCTTCGGTAAATCCTATTGGTGTTCTTCCATCTAGTATATCTTGATTAGACAGTATGTATGCATCACTGCTCTGTGAGCTACCTCACCTTCGGAAAGGAAATTCTTGCTAGGATGGTCACCTTAGTGAAGCAGCCCAGCAAAGAGCTTCCTGCGTGGAAGCTTACTAGTCCTTGTTTTGTGCAGAAATGACTGCAAACATTTATTAAGGACCCATTATGTGAGCACTCAAAGTATCCTGAGGTTACAACCATGACCAAGAATAGCTAATGGTAGATTTTCTCCCCCAAACTTCTCCAAGTCTAAGCAGACAAGTGACAAGTCATCTCAGTACAGGGTGATCAACACTACTGCAGAAGTATAGGGGCCACAGAGAAAGGAGTCGAGAAAGAGCCAGAGGAGGAAGAAGTCACATCTTGTAACAGACATGTACCAGGTGCCATGCTAAGAATTCCGCCTTCATTGCTCAATATAATCCTTATGCTAATCCTGTGAGTTAAGATTAAGGATTTGCTAAAGGAAATACAGCCGGACAGTAGATGGCAGAGCCTGAAACTGAATTTGGGATTATCTGCAGCCAAAGCCAGACCTAGAACTGAGCGTTGTAAACTGCTTGGATCTTTTGGAAGATGGTGAGGGAAGGGCCGTGCATTGAAGGATCCGGTACAAAAGCTGGAGGAGTGAAAGAGAAAGCTGGCTAGGAAAGGAAACGGGGTGTACGTGAACCCCGAGTCCATGCTTTTAACCAGAACAAAATCGACTTCACTCTCCTGCGACATCCACCCAGCACCCATACCTTTGCCAGCATCTAGAACCGTACTAGAGGTGCAGCATTCTTTGGAGTGTAAGAAAATGAACAGTCCCTAAATTCTATGTTGTTTACTTGTGGCAGAGAAACACACCCTATCTTGTTTCCCAGGTGTGCCCTCTAGGTCACATGGGAACATGGGTTGGAGCTGAAAATTGTCAAGCCAGGCTTGTTTGAAACAACTTCTCCCTTTCTGAGAAATAACAGGAACCAAAACTCAAACCCAGCTGCATGCCATACTTATGGTAGTTATTCCATAAATAACATACAGAAGGAAGAGAAGGAGGGATTAAGAAAATGGATATAAAAATGAAGAGTTTCGGGGCTGTGTATGATGGCGCACGTTTGTAATCCCAGTATTTGAGAGACTGAGACAGGAGGATTGCCACGAGTACGAGCCCAACCTGGGTGGCAGAATTAAATCTTTTCTTAAAAGAAAAATAAAGTGTTTCGGTGCTAGAGATGTAGTTCAATGGTACAGGTCTTGCTCGGAGATTCGATTCCCAACACCGAGGGAAGAAAAAAAAAAGTGTTCCGAGCTGAAAAGCCAGGAAGTAGGGTGGGAAATTCAGCATTCCTTCCCAGGGTCCGCTCTAATTCTCCCGGCTCCCTTTTCCGTCACGCGCCCAGTGTGTGGTCGGAGAAGAAGCTTTTGCGGTTGGCCAATGTGAGGCCAAGCTGTGACAGCCAGGGCGAGCTATTGGTTAGAACAGGGGCGAGGCGGGGCGTGCGCGGGAGCGCGCGGGTGATTGGCACGCGCAGGAATGCCTGGATCGGAGGGGAGAGGTAGCGCCGGGAAGGTGACGCGGCTGCGGAGGTGACGCCGTGAGGTCGCGCGGCCCTTCCGGCGCGGGCAGG